ACTTCTAGATACCATTTACTTTTAATGTTTTGGTTAACCACAAAAGCTTCCTTGAGTAACGCATTATTAGAATTCATGGCCCGACTGTAATTTGTTTTTTTTATAAATACATCTAGGGGGTATCTGTCTAACTCGCTATACATGGCCATAATTGGTGTGTGTTGTGACACCCCTAGTAGATACCGACAATAACTTAATTGAACGTCTTCAATAGGTGATTTAGTGGAGAACTCATCACCCCAAACATCACAACCATAAATGAGGATAGGTCTGATGAGTTTGTCAAAAAGGGAAATTGAAACTTTTATACTTATGTTTTGTATTGAGCCAAGCTTTGCTTTCATTGAAAACAGAGCTTTTTGAGCCTTACGTTTAAGGTTTTTTAGGCCATCCTTAAATTTACCATTGGCACTAATGACTAGTCCCAGATAGTTATAAGATTTAACTGTATCAAGTTCGATACCTCCAAGAAAAAATGTATCATTATTCAAACGTCTGTTTGATTTATTGAAAATTAAAATTTTGGTTTTGTCAGTGTTGACAGAGAGCTTCCACGTTTTAGCATACAATGCCAAACTATCAAGACATGTCTGTAATCCCTGTTTAGTTTTAGAAAGTATCACAATATCATCGGCATAGAGTAGACAGCTGACATGCGAGTTTTCTAAATAAGGAGGATCACAGGTATTAGGATTGAAAATAGTGGGCAGGTCATTTAGACTCTAAATAATAGACTCTTCCATCTCAATCAGGGAACCAGAGCATGTAACCTTGACCTGGAATATACAGAATGCAGAGAAATAAGTTTTTTTGGTGATTATAGCATCACCTCTACAGATGAGTGGGAAAAAACAGCATCAGCAGCAGGCGGTGTGGTAAACGAGAGGAAACTTAGAAAACAGAAACTTTTCAAGTTTAAAAAATACTATCAATGTATATTTTTGATAACAAATTGAAAACAACAAACTTTTTTTTTCCCATGGTAACAGCTGGTACCTCAAAATGGTGGCCAATTTTTTATTAAATTGGAGTACTCGGTTGCGCTTGCCATCAGTCAAACGACTGCTGTTGTTAATGATTGCGCGGAGGTTTCTGGCACCATGTTTTCGACACTATGTTTTTACCACCATTTACAATGTCCTTAATTCAAAAACCTAAATTTGGTATTGCAATAATTTAAAAAACAACAGTCTGGATTTGGCAGAATGCAATAATAATAATCATTTTTACCATGATTAAAAAACAATGTTAACTACATCTTAGGTTCAAAGTTAAGTTAAGCTGCTGTGTTTGCCATTGAGAGTTTCAGAAATGTAATAACATGTCTCAGTATTAAAGCGAAGGGGTCTTCACCTGCACATGCGCTGGAATTGAGTCTCAGTCGAAGATAACAAAGCACGATAAACTGCAAAGGCTCATGGGTAGAACACCGACACACAAATTCAAAATAAAGTTTCTCTCTTTGTTCTCTATAAATGACACAAGAGGTTAAAAGTGGATTTCATCCTCTAGTATCATCATGATTTCAATAAGTATGTTTAAATACCCCCTCAGACTGAAGTTCAGACACTGTTAACACAAATCACAGTGAAATGTTGTGATTTAGAAATCACAGTAAAATGCTGTCATTCGAAGAACATACACACATACAAAAACTGGATTCTCACGTGTATTTGTTATGAGAGTGCAATAAGAAGAGTTTCAGAACTTGCAAGTGACTTAATATGCGACAGGAAAGGCCGGGACGAGTCGAAAGATTTCAATCACTAACCACTCATGTGCATGAAGAGGAAAGAGTTCGCGAAACAGAAAACACGGTGAATCGGTGTGCACATGTCATAATGGCATGATTATAACTGTTTGCT